ATATATATATATATATATATATATATATATATATATATATATATATATATATATATATATATATATATATATATATATATATATATAGATTGTCTATATCTTAAAATTAAATATCGCTACTCTGAGTTTCACGTCCTTTCTAGACGATCATCAGGCGATTTTGTTCACGATTTTGTTACTGATTACGTGATTGCATCATCATCAACCGTTCGCTGACGCGTTAACTTGTTTGTTCGCGCGCGTTCGAATTTCCTGGCGCTGAATTTTTCTCGATGGCGACATTTCGCGAAGAACTCGGATCTTTTGTTCAACAGATTGGTTTTATATGATTTCATGATTTCTAATTTCTCTTCTATGCACAGATTACAACGTCTACCGCCAGGTACATACGCTGCTGCTCGTTTCAAAATGGACCACTTAATACTGTATTCCCAGTTCTTCGCGAAATGTCGCCATCGAGAAAAATTCAGCGCCGGGAAATTCGAACGCGCGCGAACAAACAAGTTAACGCGTCAGCGAACGGTTGATGATGATGCAATCACGTAATCAGTAACAAAATCGTGAACAAAATCGCCTGATGATCGTCTAGAAAGGACGTGAAACTCAGAGTAGCGATATTTAATTTTACGATATAGACAATCTAATAAGCTCTGCTATACTTTTAGTATTGAGCACTTTATATATCTAGACAACCAAAATAAATTGAATTATATATATATATATATATATATATATATATATATATATATATATATATATATATATATATATATATATATATATATATATATATATATATATATATATATATATATATATATATATATATATATATATATATATATGGGCTTGTAACCCAGAGGTCGCCGGTTCGAATCCGACTTAGTCCCAACTTTTCCTGTTCACTAAAAAATACTTTCCTACGGTGATTAACATATATAAAAAATTATAAATGCCATATCGTGATGATTAACATATATATATATATATATATATATATATATATATATATATATATATATATATATATATATATATATATATATATATATATATAGTTTTTCGTTTTACCTCAAAAAACCACAACAGTCTGTTTCATCCGTATAGGAATCATCAGGTGGTCCTGATGATTCCTATACGGATGAAACAGACTGTTGTGGTTTTTTGAGGTAAAACGAAAAACTATATATATATATATATATATATATATATATATATATATATATATATATATATATATATATATATAGTTTTTCGTTTTACCTCAAAAACCACAACAGTCTGTTTCATCCGTATAGGAATCATCAGGTGGTCCAGTTCACCACCTGATGATTCCTATACGGATGAAACAGACTGTTGTGGTTTTTGAGGTAAAACGAAAAACTATATTACGCTCTATCTATATGGTATTGAGCACTGTTTGTGTTTCGTAAACCAAAATCTTAAGCTATATATATATATATATATATATATATATATATATATATATATATATATATATATATATATATATATATATATATATATATATATATATATATATATATATATATATATATATATATATATATATATATATATATATATATAAACAGCTGGGCATTTTGTACGGAGCATGCGCGAAAAAATCAATATGGCGACATATTTATAGGAGTGCTTCGTGGATTTATCTGGTTTTAAAGCTGATAAAACAACATTTCAATGAATAAAAACTTTGTAATATTTAGTGGAAAACATTAAGCTATGCAGTCCAAAGGTTTTAAATTAAAAATAAGTACTTTTGCTTTATTTTATTGCTTTTTATGCTTTGAAAACAGGCAAGCTCATATTTTTTGAAAAAATCTTATCTAATATTTTACCCATTATTTGTTTAATCTGAACAAAAATAGATAGAACACTTGGCTATATAAGTTATAAAGGTATTGTTAGCTGATCTGAAAGATTTCAGTATTTCAGGTACACATTTTAACAAAGAATAAAATTAAAATATATGCATATCAAAAACAATGGTTTTTATTAGAACAACACAGAATAAGTTGTTATTTTCTATTTTTACAAAAAACAAGTTTGAAAACAGGATCTAGTCCTCCAGCTTGATGTCATATTCCATTTATTTGGATATTTGAATAAAGGAATGTGAAATAATAATTGAAACTTGTCCAAAATTTGATACCAACACTGGAATGAACAGATACTATCACCTAAAAATAAAAGAAAACAGAACTTAAATTTATCATATAATGCTATGAAAAAATCTTAGATACTACAAGCATATAGTGAACACAACTCTTTAACAAATTCACTAAAATAAGTTAAGTTATGCTACGATAAGAGGATGGCAATATATGACAACATCAAATGTTACCATCTTCAGTGTCCAAAAAAAGTGCCGCGCGCATTTTTCGTGGTCGCATAACTGGCATTGCCACAAACCCAGGTGAAAAAGCAATTAGAAAAACCTGGTTTTGGGTGATGAGCATAGTCAAATTCTTGACTTATTCAATTTTCTAAGTTTTTCCAGGTAAACAGATCCAACATTGAAATAAGCCCCATTCGGGACCTCATAGGGTCCAAAATATTGTGTATGGACCAGATTTTTTTCAATTTTCTGTGATTTACATAACACTAGTTATAATTTAAGGCTCAACCAGTATTGTTCAAGACATATTTTCCTTCCAGAACACCTTTTCAAAATACTAACCCAAGCATGTCAAAAATAGTGTACATTTACAAGGGCAATTTCAACCCTTTGGCACATTTTTCCCATGAATGATTTTAATTCTAATATAAAGACTATAGATAAAACTTTGATTTGAAGCTAGTTTCAAGTGATGAGCATACCCTAAATTTTAAGCTATACCTCAAAGAAGATAGGTCATTTCAACATAAACATTGAAATATGGGTATACTGACAGCTCTGTCACACGTGTAGTTTGACATTAGCAAACCTTCTGAAACATTTTAATGAAAGTATAATTCACAAAGTTCACATTTTCACTTACTTCTTAACATCTGTTTTAATCCAACTAGCTCTGTAGGCACCAGCAAAATTTAGTGTTGATGTAAATATCCATTTTGTTCATGTTTCCCCGGTGAAAATATAGTCTATTCCAAAGCTGATTTCGACGTACTTTAGCTTTTCAGAAACCGTTGGCCTTCTTCAGTGAGATTATTAACTGTTTCACAAACATATTTGATAGTAAACAGCTTAAATATTCTCCGAAAGTCTATATTTTTGCTCTTCGACGCGAACATGGAAACTCAAAGAAGAAATGAGCCGCTATTTTTGGTCAGCGTCGACAAATTGCCTACCTGTTCTTGCCACACTCATCAGGTGAATTTAAATGTTGCGTTAAAAATTCACCTGATGCATGAGTGTGGCAAGCATTGCTTGTCATACGAAACAAGTTTGTAGTGAATAAATCTTATGAAGTAAACCAGGTTTATTTTATCTTTATCTATATTAGCTCTATACTTCGGTATATCGAGCACTCTACTCATATATGATTCTAAATACATATTTGGTATATATATATATTTCCAGTCTTAAAATCCGTCTGACCGTGTAGCTCAGTTGGTAGAGCGTCGATCTAGTAATTCGAAGGTCGCGGGTTCAAGACCCAGCCGCGGCAGACTTTATCTTTCTGCTTACGCTGGGTATGGAAATTATATCATACACACTCCAGAACATTTTCACCTTAACATATTACGGAGTGTATACAATTACACAACTCAACATATATATATATATATATATATATATATATATATATATATATATATATATATATATATATATATATATATATATATATATATATATATATATATATATATATATATATATATATATATATATATATATATATATATATATATATATATATATATATATATATATATGTGCAGCTTGTAGAATATGTGATTTGGTATGGATGCGTATCAAGCCTATCTCTCCCTCAACTCCAGACAGGCCAGATAGGACGGTCAGTCCGGCGGTCAGTCCGTCGGATGCGGACCAATGCTCGTGGAAATTTAAGGTAACTCAGTGTTTTCGAAACTTTATTTGGCAATCCCCCCTCACCCCCTTCCCCTCCCAATAGTCGCATTTACACTCACACATATGGATCAAGATTTCATTGATGTCAGTCACACCCTGACTGCAGATGTTTCACTACATTCCTGGTCCCACAAATAGGCAGAAACTATAGGCTGGAATCATTTTTCATATGTCAGCCACACCACACCAATAGGTTCAATACGCCCACCATTCGATTTCGAAGCACTGCCTAGTCTTGCATTTGAAATCAGTGGGTTTAAGTTTGCGGCGAAATAACTTTTCTTTCAGTCAAACCCATCTGAAAAATTGAAAGACGGAAAGTCTTACCATAAAATATCAATTGGTAACTTCCACTTCTTTCGTATCCAACAATATTCCTGGCCAAACAATGATAATTTCCAGAACCACGTACGTCGGTCCTACTTATAACCAAGCGACTACCTTTTTTTTGGTATCTTACGTTGTTGATGACTGTGCTTCCATTTAGCATATGCAATTCAAATTTGTCTTTGTACCATGTAATTCGAGGGGAAGGATGACCAGTCATGCAACACGAAATATGAATGTTTTTCTCTTCATTGATTTTTCTCCGATAAACAGTCTCTGTATTTGTTTTGCACTCTAATAAAATAAAAAGGTAAAAAAATGCAACATTAAAAATGGTAGTACCGTACCTCAAGTAGTTTTTAAAGACTGAGAAGATTGAATAGTTCTGAAGATATGAATTTTTGTGCTGAGCAAAAGCAGCAATATATTATTGTGTTTTTAAGATTAGGATCAGTTTCGCAACAAATTCTGAAGTCAAAAGCATCAACGACACTCTATAAAAACTTTTCTTTCTGACTTATTGCACTATTGAACTACAATAATTTTCACTGCCACCTTCACCGCCCCCCCCCCCCAATCCTCCGTTCTGCTTCCCAACAGTGTTGGGCGTACTACAAAGTCTTTAACTGTGTTTAAAGAGTATAATTAACATTGAATGGTGAAGGTATGGGAGAAGCGTTTAGTATTATCACGAAAGTTGTTCCAATAATAATAACTTACTGACTGAGAGTGAGGACAGTACGGGAAAATATCCAACCAAGGACTTGCTGTATTGACCGAGCGATAGCGAGCTCAATACAGCAAGATTGAGGTTGGATATTTTTCTGTACTGCCGGAGCGGTTGAAGTCAGTAAGTTTTTTATTCTATGGCATTTTACGTTTGTAAAAAAATGAGGAAAAAGGTCACGCGAGGGCAAAGTGCAAAGTCGGTCACATTTGCAAAAAACTGAACAGTTGTGAAACATTTTCTCTTGGTTAATAGTGAAACTACTCTACAGCACTTTTTATAGAATACTAACACAGTTTGGATAGTATTTCGAGAAAAATACGAGGTATTTCGTCATTTAATCAAAGTCAACAAGTATGAAAACAATGAAATTAATAAACAGCATCGTCTAATTTCGACTTTCGCTAACAAAAACGCATTGAGAAAGTTCTTTAACCACAGCAGTTGCTTATTTATTTTAGGTTTATTTTTCTTCGTTTTGAATAATTTGAAAGATTTTTAATAAGCACGTTTTGCCGTTTGAAACTCGGCTCTCGTTGCAGCTTCGTAGGGCAATAAAAATTGCGTATTGCATGCCCGTGGGCAATACGGGAAAATACTGCCTCGTCAGCAGCCAATCAAATTGCGTGATTCATTCAAACGAATGCTTGCCATTTAATAATTGGTAGTATTTCAAATTTTATGCCCAGGATTTTAGTGAGCTTCAAACAGTTTCTAGTCTTGCATCGCATGCATGGCATACATCAAGGGGGAAAAAATATGTTATACATCAAGGGGGAAAAGGATACATTTTCTTTACGTACCTTGATTTATAATTTTTACTGAAGCTTTGTGTTTGGCATTCTTCCCCACGTCCTGTCGATTCATCCGGCAAAAACAAGTAAAATTGGTAAAATGTTCAATTTGTTTCCAAGGAATCTTACGAATGATGTTAAAGCAACCGTAACTGCGCGAAATATTGTCTGTCGATTTACATTTGCCGTTGACTTTTGAAATATCGAAGTTTTTCTTAAAACCTGGTTCATTATCAAGAGCCGGGCATGTTATCTTGAGATAGAGAGGTTCTAAGTGTGCACGGCACAGAACATGTATTGCAGATATACTTGGCATTGAAAGGTACGAGATGTCCACCAGTTGGATTTCTTCCGGTACTATATGTGAAAGTTAGATTATTTAGTTTTAGTTATAAAAATAACATTCATTGGATTTCAGCAGCAGACATGCACTTCCCGAATTTGCTGGCTGGTGATGGAAACTACTTTAAGATGGCTAACAAATCTTATTATTATATATCAATAGTCAAAGTCGCATTTTTCTAGTGTTTTATTGGTTGAGAGCATATCACGTGAGAGTGACGAAATTAGGCTGTCTCCCTCGCAACAGCGCGAGAGGGAGTTAATAGGGAGCTTTAGATTTGACTACGAGTACGACTACGAGTACGAGATTCGTCAAGCTAAACGTATGCTGTATGCTTACGCCATCCCGTACTGACGCGAAAAAGTCGTAGCCGTCGCCCATCTGAGTACGAAATTGTGGAGAAACCTCGTAGTCCTCACGACGACTTTTCAAAAAAACAAAGAAAGTTGTTTTTTTTTGTTTTCCAAAAATAATTTGTAGCATTTATATAGCGTTTATCCGGCGCAAATAATATGTTAGTGCTAAATATCTGGCCTGTTTTTAATGTTATGACTTATTTACACGTTTTGTAGGGGATTTTAGTCGGCAGGAGATTTAGTTTATGAAACTTTTTATCTAGTTGTTGGTTTACTGTTATAAAAGCAACATTTGAATGGAAACGAAAACGAATAGGTAATTTCCTCGCACGCGATCAAATCTCGTACTCGTAGTCGTACTCGTAGTCAAA